AGGAGAGGAAACAGATGGGAACGATATTTTAGGGAAAAAATAGTCTAGTATCTAATTGGCTAAGAGACAATAAGGAACAGAAATTGATGCTAAGATTTAAACCGGAAAAACTAGAAGTTTAAACAATTCATAAGCAAGCCAATTATATATTCAGAACTGAGGGCGAAGAGGGAGTCTGAATGGGTATTTTGGCTGCACTGTATTTGAGGTATTTGGGAGGTGGACACAGTGGATGTTAGAAAGGAATGTTTGGTACTTTGAGGAAAATGTTTTGAATTACAAAATTGAGACTCATTTTCACAGTAATTTTTTATGCCAAATCCATTTACAGCTTACCTCTTTGGAGTACATAAGATTACAGAGTGAGACTGTGAATCCATAGTTAGTGTTCCACAAAGTAAACTCCCAGGAGAACTGACATCACCTTAGATTTGTTTACTCTTGTATTCAGTGCCCAGCTGGCATGTAGTTAGCTCTTAAACCGTTGTTGAATGAGGGGAAAGATTGCCCAATAAAGACCATGGTGCCAATGATAAAACTGGGAGAAGATTCTTGATTTTGTGGGGAAGGTACAGGGGATTGCTTGAGAAGAAAAGGTGAAAAGAATAGTAACTAAGAAGTTACTTGCATTTCAGGTTTTGTTTAAATAATTCTGGATTTTCTGGGTTGTGCTAATTTTATTCTTTTGATTCCACATTACTGTAAGCCATTAGAATATCTCTGTAATTCCACATTGCAGCCTCCAAATTGCCCTTCCCCTAAGACCTCTGGTCTCATTCCTGCTACATACAGCATTTTGTTTGTAAGGTCACAAAGACTGATTCTTGCTTAAGAAAAAAAAAAATTACCATTATTGGTGATGTGTATTTGTTTCTATATTGCTTTGCTAAAAAGCAAACCAACAAAAAACTCTTCTGTTTGGATGTGTTATATTTACCACTGGAAAATTATCATTCCTTTATAAATAACTTAAATGACTCTTTAACTAAATTTTTCTTAGTGTTGTAGTTTGAGAGGAATAAGAACATAGGCCTAAGGACAGCAGCTTTTTATTTGGAATAGCTCTTTTTTACTATTAAGCCTTTACATGCTTCAAATTAATGACTGGTTGTTCAGAATTAAAATTGATGGAACTTCAGCCTTGTAGATATATGGATTTTAGAATATCACTGGAACTATCCCCCTATTTTTAAGAATAACAGGTTCATTGTTGAAAGTTTGGGAAATATAGGACAATTCTGATGTAACTCCTCACAACTTTTTCTCATGAATTTTACAATCAGATCTGGATTTGAGTGCCAGTTTCCAATAGGGAAATTGGTCTAATAGCTGTCACTATCAACTTAAGGAATTTAAGTCATTCTTTAAAGAGGACTTAGAATTTGCTCAGTTGAGGTTCTGAGGGTCTTATAGAAGTGATAATACTGATAGGAATTCAGACTGCATATTCTTAACTGCTCTGTTCATTATTTGTCACATAGATTTTGTGGCATCAAATGTGAAGTGCTTAGTACCAAATAAGTACTTCCTCTATAAAGGAACCCTGGTGACATAATGGTAACTGGGTTACCAACTGAAAGATCAGTGATTCGAACTCACCAGATATTCTGGGGGGAAAAGTTGAACAGCCCATCCTGCAGTAAAGACTTACAGCTTCAGAAATATAATGGAGGGTATAATGACTCTCCATCAGGCATTAAGGCAGTGGGATTTTGAACATCACTCACACCCAGAAGCATACTGGTTAAAGCTCTGGGCTGTTAACGGAAAGGTTGGGTGTTCTAACCTATCAGTTGCTTCTTGGAAGAAAGATGTGACAATTTGCTTCCATAAAGATAAACAGCCTTGGACACCAATTATGAGGAAGTCCTGTTCTGTCCTAAAAGGTTGTTAGCAGTTGTAATGAATTCAACCACAATAAATTTTGTAAGTTGCTATTAGGTGCTTATGAGTCACTTTTAACTTGTAGAGGGCATGTATATAGCAGAACAGAACACTGCCAGGCCCTGTGCCATCCCCACAATCCTAACTGGGGTTGAGTCCATTGTTGTAGCAAGGTGTCAGTCTCTTTCATTGGGAGTCTTTATCTTTTTTTACTGCTGTTACTTTGTCAAGTATCATGTCCCTCTGTAGGAATTGACCTCTCCTGATAACATGCCCAAACTATATTTGAAACAAAGTGTTTCCATCCTAAAGAATAAGGAGCCTTTTGGCTGCACGCCCAAGAGAGAGTTGCTTGTTCTTCTGGAAGTCAATGGTGTATTCAGTATTCTTTGCCAGCATCATAGTTCAAAAACATTGATTCTTCTTTGATCTTCCTTACTCATTGTCCAGCTTTAGCATGCATCCGAAGTAACTGAAAATTCTTTGGCTCGGGTCTGGTTTACTTTGATCTCCAAGATGTCAGATGTCATCTTTGCTTTTGAACACTTTAAAGAGGTCTGTTCCAGCAGATCCACCCAATTGAAAATTTTTTTGGTTTCTTGACTGCTCTGACCATGGTAATTGTAGATCCAAGGGAAATGAAATCCTTGAAAATGTCAATCATTTCTCCATTTATTGCACCAGTGTTGAGTTT